CAGCAACATTTTAAATCGTCACTGACTGGTTCGCAGGATAGGAGAAATATATCTGCAAGAAATGATTACTAAGATGCAGGCAATACCTGATATTTCTTGATCTCTGTTGATTCATCGTCAACAGAGACTACCAGTAATAGGAAGTGGCTTAGAGGTCCAAGCGAATAAAAGAACAACTTTCAGCACAGAACCTCAGTGGCTCGTTCTCGGTAAGGACGGCACGGGTAACCCGAGAGCAGTGCTAACTGTGGTGTATTCTACGCGTCTTGGAGGCAAAGGCTTCGTCATGATGGAAGCCATCTATAATTAACGAGAGACTGGCCTAGGTTACCGGGGGATGGCGTTTTTCAAAGGAACCGGAAGGTTGTGGCTGAAGAAGAAGTTTGCGACACATCTGTTCTTGGCTGAAAATGACATCAGTTGATCAATCTGAATCTCGAGATGCTCTCCCCCAGTCTAGACTCATGGTAACATCTCGTCCATGCCGCACTACCGATCAGACCGACCTTAGGGTGACGGGGGCCCTCCCCGCAGCAGGCATTACGAGTATCTAATTGGTGGATCAAGCCCCTTGTCCCAGTTCCAAATGTTCTATAGTGGCTGCCGCCGATGAGCAATTGAAGCTCCATTGCCCGTGACCTCGATTCTTATATGGCGGGCGCAACACACTTCTTCTCCTCCACCCCCATCTCCATTATTTCTTTCTAAGGCGGCACCTCTCCTGTACTTCTTTGTCGCATCGCACCTCAATAGCAGCAACACCAGCTTCGTTTATCTACACCATGTCTGCCCAAGATTACTATGGCGGTGGTGGCGGCGGTTACCCTCAGCATCCCCAACCTGTTTGTTATCCAGTCGCATTCATAAAATTGTGATCGCAGTTGCTAATTGTCTTGTTTCGCAGTCTTACGGCCCTCCCCAAGGTCAATACGGCCCTCCCCAAGGCCAGTATGGCCCACCTCAGGGACAGTATGGTCCCCCTCAAGGGCAATATTACGGCCCGCCCCAAGGCCAACCTCCCATGCAATACCAACAAGCACCTCCTCAACAAAGTGGTGGCAAGCGCGGCGGCGGCGGCTGCTTGACAGCTTGTCTGGCAGCCATGTGTTGTTGCTGTGTTGCTGAAGAGGGATGCGAGTGCTGGTAAGTCAACTCTCGTGGAATCATCGGCGTCATCAAATATTGGAGGCTCTTCGCTAGCACCAATTGAGCACCACACATGCACAAAACCAACGAAGTGAATAAATACTAATGTGTGTCGCCTTTTAGCATCGATTGCTGTGACTGCCTCTTTTAAGCGGCTTGCCCCAGCCAAACAAAGTAAATACGATCCCCACGATATATATAATAAGCCCACGCATGGCTTTATGAATACTCCGAGAATCTTTACACCTCTTCACATAATTTGGAAACGCCGTTACGAACGCCCTGTTTCTTGATTAATTAATATATGACGTTCTCTCGCGGAAATGGTGGGCGTGACATTGCCAAGACAAGCAGAGCCAATAACTGAACTGAACAGCCGAGTGTAGTTAAACGTTCAAGTATCCAGACCGATCGATGAGCGTAGGTTGTTATCAAGTACACGGCAATAGCTATTGTATCAAAATACTATCAACATAGCCAATTGATATGAATATAGAACATTGAATCGTTTGTTTTGAAACTGTACGCGAGCTGATAGCGTTCTTTCATCTACTGTCAAGTTTTCCCCCCACCCCATAGGCTTAATACATTCCTTTCGCCTCATTGTTGATAAAGCACGCCCAAAAATCACTGGTTGAGTTGCACATAATTGGCAGGGAACAGACCGGCTTGTCCAGCATAGTGGCCGAACCACCAATCCTCGTCAGGGAACTCCAAATTGGTAATTGTGGCGTCTTCAGGGAAGCTCAATTCTGCAAGCAGGACTTAGTAACTGTTTCTTTGACATAAGTGTGGATCTTACCATTATCTTCTGCAGCCTCGTAATCGTAGAGGGCAACAGCCGTGTGGCCGGCCTCAGCCGGAGCAGCAGCTGAAGCTTGAGGCTCGGGCTCGGGCTCGGCCGCGGCAACAGGGGGTGGTGGAGGCGCCGCAGCAGCAGCAGCAGCCGGTTGCTCAGGCTCGTCGTCCCCCACCAATTCAACGTAGTTGCTAGGGAATAGGCCGCTCTCACCTCGTGAGTTAGTGCCCATCCACCAATCTTCGTCCACCATCTCAATGTTAGTGACGATTTCGCCCTCGATCAGGTCGATTTCGTTGTCTTCAGCCTTCTCGTAGTCGTATTGGATCACGGCACGATAACCTCCCTGAGACTCTTGAGCTGGCTGAGCTGCGGGTTCAGGAGCGCGCTCTGGCTCTGGCTCTGGACTGGGCTCACGCTCGAGAGCGCCAGCAGCAGCAGCAGCTCCGACACCGACGGCAGCTCCTACGGCGACACCTGCAGCCGCACCACCAGCAAAACGGGCGGTAGATGAGACCTCCTTATCATCGGCAAGATCGGATTCCTTGGGCACATCAATCTGGTTAGGAGTAACAGGAGGCGGAACACGCTGCTCAGGGGGGGTGCCGACTTCAGGCACAGGCCCACGGCTGACTGGAACAGCAACACGAGGAGGCGAGGGAGATCTCTCACGCTCTGCGGCTGTCTGGTAAGCAGAGGGGTCTTCCCGTTCGTCCTCTTGCTCATCTGCAGGAGCTGGTCGGTTAGGCAGTCCTGGAAGGGCAAAGCCCCCAGAGGGTCGACCGCTAGGAACAGGCGGCGGTGTAGTGTCGTCCTCTGCAGGTCGAGCAGCAGGAGGGGGAGGAACTCCTGCGCTGATAGGGGCAGTGTCCTTGAAACGGTCTCGTAGAGCTGACACACCTGACGGCGATGCTGGTGTATCCTCAGGTTGCTCGCCTGTGTTTTCCTGGCTAATCTGTCCAGGTATACCGCGACCATAATCTCCAGTCTGCACTGGAGCCCAGCTCTTACCAGAGTAGCCACTCTTCCACTCGCTTCCGCTCTTCTGTGGCTGAACAGGAGAAGTGCTACCAATAGGAGCAGGGGCGGGAGCACTGCCGGAGTCCTCTCCCCTCTCCCTAGCCTTTCGCTCAGCCCATAGTTGGGCAGGAGTCTTTCCGCCTTGGTCAGCAAACGTACGGCTTGCAGCACCAACAGGGGCGGACTTGGCGGGAGCGGGAGCTCCAAAGCCTAAGCCACCGGGTGTGGGAGCCTTTGTGCCCGAAAAGCCTCCCGCGCCACCAAACTTGTTGGCAACCTTGGGTTTAGGAAGGGATGTTAGGCGTTCGGACTGAGCTGGCTGAGAGAAAGCAGACATGCGTTCCGACACAGGTGGGGACTCGTCCTCTAGAGGTTTCTCCGAGGCAGCAGGCTTAGCCTGTGCCCGGATTGCAGCGATGTCAACCTTTCCAACGGGTTCGTAGGATCCCTTCACAGGAGTTGGCCTGTCATCCTGGTCTTTTTGGGCTTGAGCGCGAATAGCTGCAATATCGACCTTCCCAATGGGTTGATAACCGCCCTTCACCACATCGCCTGGCGTGTCGTCGCGCTTGACGGGGGCGCTCCCGCTGGTGGTCGCGGTGGGTTGCTTGCTGAGATCGGCAATGTTAACTTTTATAGGCTTGTAAGCAGACTCAACCTTTTCAATCTGAGTTCTTGTAACAGGAGGAGCATCAGCACCCCACCCATCCTCATCGACGTTTTCGTCTCTCTTGGATCGAGCAGCGACGAGTGGGTTGGCACGGCTGGAGGCTGTCGGGGTGAAGACGGGCTTGGTCTTGACAGGAGGAGGTGCAGCAGAGCGAGGACTGTCTGAGTTCCCAGCTGAGTACTTGGCGCCGGAAGCATCGGCCACCTTTTGCATAATGGAGTCAATTTCGAGATCGCTCTCGGAGCGAGCGGTAATCTGAACATGGTATCCGTGGAGGATCTTGGAAACAGCAGCAAGGTGGCTGGTGAAGTAGCCCTTGGTTCGCTCAGGAACACCTCCTCCACACCATGCGATCAATATGTTTTTGGGGAGACCACTGTTGGGGTCCTTGACCTTGGCAAATGCGAATTGAATGCGCCCTTCGCTAAAGTCCTCAATCAGGTCGGCGAGGTCGCTTTCTGTGTACATGTTAGCAGGCTAATGGGATGATAGATACCCCCTTGTGTAACATACCGCCTGTGCTTTGAACTTTGAGAATACTCTCCTTGGCACCGCTGTCTTGGAAGGCATTCAAGAGAGGGGCCTGGACCGAGAAAAGGACCCAATGGGCATGAGTGGGAGAGTCGGAGGATAGCGGGGCACCGTTTACGACACTGCTGTAACTGCTCTTTATGGACGGACCATTTATCGAGGTATTGAGAGATGCCATCTTGAGAATTCTTGAGATGTTAGGACAAAGTTAGGCAGACTTGAAGCTGGAGCTGACGAGCTAGGATGACGGAGGTTGGGGGTGACGTTGACACCGTTGCTGCGGCGGTGGTAGCTCCACACGGAGAGAGAAGATATGAGTTCCGGAGGCGTAGCCAGGGAAAGATTATCGTGATCAATTTCTCCAGTACGTCTGATATCGCACAGCGTCGAGAAATTGCTGTAGGAGGTGTATCAGGATTCGGGAGAAGTTGAGAATGGAAACTCAACGTAGATCGAGAGACGGTGGGAACCTTGGGTAGAGACTACAGAAACCATACAGTCAAAGACCCCCAGAAGTGGGTTTCTCGGAGTGTGGCTGATGATGTAGCTTCGTACGTCGTCTGCATCAGTCACCTAATGTAGCTTAAATATGCCCAATTCTGGGGCGGTCTAGCTGGTCTACAGTGGGTTGAGCGGGGTTAAGCTGTGCTGTTCATGCTTGTATGCGCTGTGTGCTCCGTTGTGCTGCTTTGATGAGCTGTTAACTGGTTACAGCGATGGAAGCTGTCAAGGTCAGCATTACACATCAGAATGCATCTAGCAGGTTAAATGCAAATATCCAGCTCCGGCAGCGGAGGCCTGCTATCGTCCACCAGACGAAATGACGCAAGGACATTTTTCTATTTGCACAATCTCTTGCCCCTCCTCTCTAGGTATACATACGACTGTCCCTCTGGGTTTCAGAAAACTGATAGGCAGAGGTTTTCTTTAATGATAAATAAGTACGGGTAATTTTAACACAAGCATGAAGTTATGCGTTCTAAGCCTCATTGGAATTTTCACTGGGCGTAGAGTTATATTCTTATAAATCAAGTCCTAAATGCCGTGCTCTTAAACAGAGAATCGAATTTCCGTCTTTTTCTTACGCCTTGCCTGTCATTGGATACCATTATTTGTACCCCGCCAAAGTGAACCCTTTTCCCCCCAGTTGCGTGGAGATCAATGAGTTGCTACTGACTGGCCTGCCCAAAAGTAATCCGACTCCAACTGTTTCTTTCTCTCTCTTATCAGATCGAAACCTTGACGCATCCATCTCACCACCACCACCACCACCACCAAAATGTCTACCATCACAGAAATTAACAGCATCCCCGAGTGGGAGCAGCTGCTCAGTTCTGTCCCTTCCACTACCCTCGTCGTCGCATCGTTCCATGCGCCGTGGGCCGCACCATGCGCGCAAATGGCTACCGTCCTGTCGACCCTCGCTTCCGAATACCCAGTCACCGAACCTCCCACCACAAAGTGGGTTTCCATCAACGCAGAGGATCTGAGCGACCTCAGCGAGACATACGATGTCACTGCTGTTCCTTTCCTTGTCCTTTTGAGGAACGGCCAAGTTGTCGAGACTGTGAGTGGCAGTAGTGCCGTAAAGGTGCGCACGGCGATCGAAACACAGGCAAAGCAATCTGGTCAGAATGCAGAGGCAGGCGCACCCAACGGTATCGATACCAACGATGCCGAAGCCGAGGAGCAAGATCCCGAGAAGAAGAAGGAGGAACTCTTCAAGCGTCTTGGAGACCTCGTGAAGGCTGCTCCCGTCATGCTCTTTATGAAGGGTACACCCAGCTCTCCTCAATGCGGCTTCTCCAGACAAATGGTTGGACTACTACGAGACAACTCGGTCAAGTATGGTTTCTTCAACATCCTCGCCGACGACGAAGTCAGACAGGGGCTCAAGGAATTTGCGGATTGGCCAACATACCCGCAGCTTTGGATCGATGGCGAGCTTGTTGGTGGATTAGATATTGTAAGCTGCATTCATATTTTTGCTTTGACTAATGCTGACAAATTCATAGGTCAAGGAGGAAATGGCCAATGACGCCGAGTTCCTGACCAAGTACAGCGTGAGCGCTCCCGCAGCTGTTTGAGGCGGAATACATGCGTTACGAAACTTACGATGCACTTATGTTTATAAGGCGTGACAGTAACTTGGCGCGTACTGCTAAATATTGCACTGCCTGGCCCTGGTAAACACCCAACCTTTTGGAGCGATAGTATACGGCAATGCAATATCAAGCATCCGGGTTGGTGGTTTGACAAGTGGCGAATTGAAGAGAGAAAACGAGGCCAAGAAGACCTGAAGTCCCGGGAGGGTTGAAAGCTGAGGCGCAGGGACTTTGTCCAAGAATATTGTGGCCATACAAAACCGCGCTGATGAGCTCTTGTTGAACCTATCATGCAACCAATGGCTCGCTGAATGGGTAGGCTGGACCGTGTGTTCCCGAATACTTTTTGATCGTTCGTATCAGCTTATATTTGAAGCTGGATGGGAAAATGTTCACAATATCTACAGGAATAGTAAAGCATGGAGAGAAGTGTAAAAATCACCATTTCTAAGCGATCATAGCTGCAGTCACAATGTCGCATTATAATTTGCCTAGGTTCAAAGGCTCGGTTCGTACTATGTATATAAAACGTATTGATGGGATCGACATAGTGCCCGTAATAGTACTGTGAGCCAGGGAATTGGTTATAGAAGGCCTCAGATACAGAGCGAAGAGTGTGGAGTGATGGAGTTTAATGACAAATATCGGTGATAAACATGGGCCGGCTCCGAAATCCGAGGCATCCAGACAGCAGATGTTGAATCCGATGAACGAGAATGACTCACAGGCTAAGCAAGTAAGATTGTGACTTTGACTCTTTTTAGCAGATTGTGGTTCGTTTTGATTGAGGGATAGTTGCCGTAACGCCCGTTAAGTGACGAGTTTACTGCACCTGGCTGACTTCAGCCATCACGTTCAAGAGACTAATAAAAAAGAGGCCCAGGTAACTATACCAATTGCAGAGAGCATGGGATGGATGTTTCCTACATGAAAGGCATGTGCAAGACAGCAGAGGTATTACAGAGGCTCTCCTAAATCGAGGAATGAAGACAAGAAATACCCTTGTCTCTCTGAATGTAAAACAACCCCACCATCTTGCATCTTACATCGATGTTGGATGCATACGCGTTCCTTGACTTGACTGCGGTGCCTAGTTCGCTTGTTCCTTATTCCCAGGCTGCTGGGCGGTTTAATAAGGCTGATGCTGACGGGATATTCTGGAGACCAAAAATTGGATTCAGATCTAGCCCTTTTCCTTTCCACCCTTTTCAGAGATCTTGTTTCTCTCCTTATTTGAAGCAAGGCACCGGAGGTACCGACACCTCCATGATCAGCTTTAATCATCTCATTGAGCCTTTGGTTGGATATCCTTCGTCATCTGCCCTCACAGCCTCTGCTCCTCTGCTGACTGAGCTTACTGGGGGATTTTGGCTCGACAAAAAAGCATTCCGCCATTCTCCATTCATTTCATTCTGTCGGGACTTAGAATCCGTCTATAACGTTCTATAGCTTGAGCTCGGGCGCTTCTTTTGTGACGTCTCCTCGCTATCTTCGCCTCCGGTCCCCCGTCTTCTTCCTACCTGACGGGATCACGATCTCGCTATCGCTACGATCTCGGTCATCGACTATAGCGAGTTCCCTGCAAAATCCTATTGCCCAGATTTGAATTACCCGTCGCACATCTTCAGCAGACCGCAACTTTGGGTGCCCCTGGCCCCCGATCTCTCCCTGGATTATCACTATCCGCTCCATTACCTCCACTGTATCACACTGTACGGTACCTCAAGTTGGAAGCTGTGCCGTAACGTGTTAATTCGCTTCTGCTGTAGGCCCAAGGGCGTGCGGACGTGTCGGACTTGATCAACGCCACCTCTAGGTTCCTAGAGACCGTTTGGGGCGAAACGATTCCGTTATCCTGCGCAATTGTGTTGTGACATCGACATTGGCTCACAGGACGGGTTGACTCGTGGAGCCGCATTTCCCGGTTGGTCAGACAAGTCTTCTGTTGACCAGGTTGCCGTAGTTGCGGCAGTATTCTGGAAGGGCGCTATATTATTCATATCAAGCTCTTTTGGGTTCCGTCAACCGCTCGAGACTCAATATATTGATGGGGTTTCCCTGGCGCTGACCAACTTTTGTCTCGTCATCGACTGTCAGTCTTGGAGCCGGATCCCTCATCTCATCTGTTGAAACGTTACGTTTCGTTCCCCTTGTCACAATGACCCCAACTCCTCCTTCGACAAACTCCTCTCAGGGAGCCCGCTCTCCTGAGGAACAGTTCCGCGTTGTGAGGAAAAGGAATCGCGTGCCTCTAAGCTGCTATCCTTGTAGGACGCGCAAGTACGTTATCCCCAAAGCATTGTATCAACACTTACTAACATCGTCGGTAGGTTGTGAGTTTAAATGACACCTCAACCCTTCATACTTACTGATATCCATCAGAAAATGTGACAGAAGTCATCCTTGCAGCAACTGTACGAAGCGCGAGGGTATGGGGACCACCTCATGCTCTTACGCCACGCCGGTTACTCGCAAGAAGAATCAAAGTCAAGGAGACTCGAGTCCTGATGACATGCAGAACCGTATTGACCGTTTAGAAGGCTTAGTTTTATCCCTTATGCACGGAGGTGCTAATGTAGATGCTGCATCCGCCGCAGCCGCTGGAGCAGCGACAACACAATCTACCACTGACAGCGGATCTTCCGCGAAGGCTGGACGAGGAGATGACAATGCAATGGCATATGATGAGGAGGAAAATAGCGACGAAGAGGAGGGACTCGCCACGTCTTTGGGTTTTCTTAAAGTGGACACGGACAAAGGCAAGTCGTTGTATGTTGGCCAGGAACATTGGCATACCCTCCTTGCCGACATATCCGAAGTGAAAAACTACTTCACATCTCACAAAAAGGAGCTAGAAACGAGTTATGAGCGAGTCAAATCTTCAAAACCTATGGCTGCAAGAGAGGGGCCGACACTACTGCTAGGAGCACTCCCTGCATCCGAGATTGAAATAAGAGCAGAGCTTCCCCCCAAGTCTGCTGTTCTGACCCTCTGCAGTCGATATTTCAATTCCATGGATAATGCTGTCAACATTATTCATGGACCAACGTTTCAGCAACAGCTGAAAGACCACTGGCAAGATCCTAACAAGACGCCCATTATGTGGCTTGGCATGCTCTACTCGGTGCTTTGCCTAGCAATGCTGAGTTACCATAAAGTGGGCGACGAACCTCCTGAGTGGAGAGGGCGAACCCTTGAGCTTGCAAATGAGTACCGGTTGCGCACGGTACAATGCCTGATTAAATCAGACTATACAAAACCTAACGAATACACGGTCGAGACTATGATACTCTATGTATTTGGAGAATATTCGTCTCGATGGGATGCTGATTTGGGGTTGTGGTTAATCGTGTCTCTGATTGTTCGGATTGCGTATCGAATGGGTTATCACCGAGACGCCAAATGGTTTCCGTCAATTACACCATTTCAAGCTGTAGGCTGAACTTCGGTATGATGCTCAGATCGATTTGCTAATCATGCTTAGGAAATGAGACGGCGGACGTGGGCTCTCGTACGAATGTCGGATGTTATCTTCTCACATCAAGTTTCTCTGCCTAGCATGATCTACGAAAATGATTGCGACACTCAACTCCCTAATAACATATTCGACGATGAGTTTTACCCCAGCATCAAGGAGCTACCCCCTTCTCGGCCATCAACAGTCGCTACTCCGATCGCATACATGATTGCCAAGTCAAGATTATGTTTTGAGTTAGGAAACATTCTCCAGGCTACGGGTCAAGTTGGCAAGCATGTGCCTTACGACGAGATTATTCGCTTTGACGCCAAACTACGGCAAATCATGCAAGAATTACCACCGCATTTAAAGTTAACGACATTAGAAGGGTCCCATGATCCAGTGACTTTGATCATCGCCAGGTTCAATGTCGATATTCTATATCAAAAGATTCTATGCTTGCTTCACCGCAAATACCTTCCCAGGGCGAGGCAGAGCGCAAGATATGCACACTCTCGGAGAGCTGCAATTGAAGCATCTTTGACAGCACTCGATCATCTGGCAGTATTGTACCGAGAATCACAATCCAACGGAAGGCTGCGGTCAGTCAGTTGGTTTGTCAAGTCGATTGCTACCAAAGACTTTACGTTACCTGCAATGCTGGTTATTCTTGATCTCCATTTTGATAACATTGCCGCACAGTCTTCAGTCCCGCAAGACGATGAGGGTGCTTCAACTTGGAATGATGACCAACGATCCAAAATGATTGGCAGTTTAGAAACAGCGAGAGAAATTTGGAACACGCTTGCGGATACCTCCATGGAAGCGTTCAAGGCGGCCAAGGTCATTGATATCATGCTGGATAAGATCAAGGACCCTGCCTCGATTAAGGCAGAGATACCGGGCGTTCCATCGCCAATGTCAGGCCTGACGCAAGGTGTTGGGACTGATGTATCGCCGGCTATGGCCCCGGGTTTCGTCTCACCAAACAGCTTACCCGATTTCAATGCGACGGCCAACACCTTTTCGACGCCTAACCCGGCGGCTTTTATGGGTATGGACTTTGGCATGCCTGGGTCTGAAGGACTTGATTTTCAGACCGATGGATTCGCTGGGGCTGGTCCAGCTTCTCCTTTCTCCTCCATGTTCAGCAATCTGGGAGCTAATACTAACGCGGGGATGGATATGGGCGCCAATTTTGACTGGGTAAGAAACGTTTCCGTCAAGAGGTCACTTGTATACATTTCTAACAACTGGATAGAACGCCTTCGAAAACTATACGCAGATGGCCAACTGGGGAGCAGACCAGAGTTTTCAGATATACGGCGCTGGAGGAGACCAGTCGTCGCCGGGACAGACCTCTTCATTGGGTGGTCGTAGTGGAAGCACGTCGCAAGCACCAGGACAAGGAGGTGGTAGTGGGGGGAGTGGAAGAGATGCAAACATGCAATGATGTTGCATCGATATAAGAATAAAATAGTTGGTCTTGTGCTGTGAAGTTATTATGGGCAACAACTGAAATGTAAAATCAAGCAACTCTACTTATTTAAATGCCCCAATGATTGGGCCCCAAAT